CCGCTTACCCACTCCCAGTTGTTTTCTCTTTTCCTTAATCCTATGTGCCAATCATTGGATCCTTGGAGGGTACGTTTTTGAATTTCTCTGTTGATAAACTGCCATTCTTCTTCCGTTTCCATGGAAACAAGGTCTCCTTTTTGGCGTCTGCAACTTTTTCGGTTTTTAGACCATGGTTTGCCTGATTCATAAAACATGTAGCAGGAACTGCCAAAACATATATTTGAAGTCGCTAGAAAGAAAAACAGAAACTGGTAATTATTAAGCTGCCTTTATATTAGCTTATATTAGAGACATAATTTGTCTTGCGCTAGTTTTTTGTGCTAGTAGTGTGTGTGTGCCTTAATTTTTGGTATTAGTGTTAGCAGTGTGCTGGTAAATTATGTTTTGGTTTGTGCTTTAAAAATGTGAAAAAGCTAAGCGTCGTAAGCTGTGTACTACTGAGTATTGCATTAGCATTAATTTTTGTAAGTAGGGTAAAGTGACAATATTGTAAGTAATGATCGAAATCAAATTGTTTGTAGTACTTTGTATTGTAATTAGTTTCAGCAGTGTTTTGTTGTGTTTCGTAAATAATTAAATTAACCAATAATAATAAAATTCGTCTCGAACAACTTGGAAAGGTGTCTGGTTATATGTGCCAATTTAAAGATAGCGACCAGGTGAATAATTTTTGAAGGCGAATCACTGAACCGCTTTGTCTATTTTGAAGGATAAATAAGTTAAGAACAGTGGCCTTGGTTACTATTTACTCTCCCATGTGTGACCTAGCCTTCTGCGCAGACGCAAGATGCACATAACCGCTAAAAAAAACGAGACCGCGAAACCCTTGAAATTCGTCGAAAATGTTGCGAGACCATTATGGTTTTTGAAGGTCCGTTCGCCGCACCTAATTTTGATTCCGACCAATAGCAAACCTCAACGTGCAAAACATCAGCAATGAGCGTGTAAAGAGGAGTATAAAATTGAGTATAGGCTGTTTTTACAAAGTACATGTATAAAGTATTTGGGGTTTTTTTTTCTTTCCTGTAAAACTTAGAATCCGTCTTTATTTCGGCACGCACCCAGAGGTTCGTAACTGTGGAATAGCAGCCTCTACTTCTCAATGCAAGCACTTCATAGCACACGTCTTGAACATGTATCTACTTAAGCTGAAGTACGCATAATCTTACTTGTTCCCATGTCGACGATAGAGGGAGTCTGGATCCAGCTCATGCTGGGAATTTCTAGATTTTCATTTTGGGATCGATCACCTAATGTGGTCTCTGCACATCCACCAGTGATCCTCACCTGATAGGAAGCTATGAAAAGTGAAACAAAAATGTATAAAAATGTTAAGCAACTTTTCCACTTTTTGAAATGTTCAGAAATAAACAGAACAATATGAACATATTGCTCGTTCGCTTTCATTTGAAAGGTCACACTCTAGGGTTTCATCCACAGACTTAAAAGTTAGAACCACCTTGTACAGCATAATAAACAGTACCACGTGAAAGTACTGCTAAATAGCTTATAATTGAATGGTCTACACTAGGGTTTCATCCGCAACACGGTCAAATAAAACATCAGAGTTCATTGTAACGGGAAGGATTGGAAAGGAAACGAAAGGACAGGACAGGTGAAGAAGAGAAAATAAAAGAAAGAGTACGAAGGGGAAGACAAATAAAGAAAGGAAAGGAAAAGAAAGCAAAGCAAAGGAAACGAAAACAAAAGGAAGGAAAGGAATAATTATAGGGAATAGAATATTGATTTCAAGAATAACTGGTCACTGCTATTGGGCCAACCAGCTGAAAAAATAATAAGACACCAGGCTAAGAGAAGAAAAACCTTTCATTGCTCAGCTCCCAGAGCAGGTTAAAGTGGCACCCCGCAGTGNCTTTATAGGAAACCTCGCGACAATTTCTCACGTTCTCCGAAAGCTACCTTGCGTTGCGTCATTCTGTCATTTTTATTCTGTCAATGAGCGCAAGAATCCTGTCGGATATTGTAAAATTATGAATCGTCGCAAGTCGTTATTCATTCTTATTATGTGGCTTGTGTCTGTAGCCGATCCGAAGTGCGCTCTTATTGGCGAACTGAAGGGCATTATTCTCCAGTAATGCCCAAGGGCTGATTACGCAAAGACAGAGCAAAAGGCCATGTAGTAAACAGCTTTTTAACCTCGAATGTTCGGTCTTTACGGAAAAATCTCAAACCTTGGATGCCATATTGACCTCGCTATCGTTCAGTCAATACGGCTAGGTCTCGGTTTGAATTTTTCCCGTAAAGACCTCACACGCGACCAATAACTAGTTAATATGACTCGAATTTCTTTAACTTTAAGTTCTTTTGACTCACTGATTTGCCACTGTCCCGCGTCTTCGCTGCATCTCCACCATCCTGGCCTTTATGTCCATTGCCTCCGTTGGCAATGACGTCAAGATTACCAAGAACAACATCAGTGAATATTTCAACTGCAAAAAATTAAACATACTGAACATTTCACAAACACATATTGACATAAACATCTCATATAGGCCACGTTCGACATATCAATATTCTGTACGTGGCTCCGAGGCTTTCAGGACAAACTTTTATATTTGGCGGTGTTTTCTTTGTATCCAAGTCTCTTTTGGGAATTGAGAGACAAAAGAAATTTTAAAAAAAGTTGCAATTTCTGGCTGTAAGCCTCAGGCCAACTTTAGAATATTGATATATCGAACGTGGCCTATTAACAGGCAGTTGAAGGAATGGTGGTTTCCACGCCGCACGAGGACCACGCCCGGGGACATCGGAATGGAAAACTACATTTACAAAATTTATTAAATTAATTTAATACGCCAATGAAGGTGCAGTTAGCATGAGTGATATGGATTATTGAAATTCACGTTATCTTCGTTTCTCCAATACACACATCGTTGTTTTCAGCAAAACATGTACTACAGAAGGTGTACAACGCACGTGTAAAGCAGATAACCCAAACAGTTGTGAGTTCGAATCCTCACTCATGATCAGTCGACGCCAATCGGTAAATCGCGCATCCGGGATTGCCAAATAACCGCAGGCTTTTAGAGACGGACCATAATTTCTTTGAGGGGGGAGGGGAAATTTCCCAAAAAAAATTCCTGTACAGCAAAAATTGCAGAAAAAGCAATCATGCAAGGAGAACCACGGGAAAAAAAAAATAATAAAGTGCTCTCTACTAACCAGGGCCTACTTTTGGTGTTAAAAAATGCTTGCGCAACCTATTGCCCACCAAAAAAATCATGCAGAACCTATAGGTGAGAAAAACAAAAACAGAAAAATGCCCAAACCCGCGCAAAGAAATAATGGTCCGTCCCTCATTACCCATCCTCGACTCAAAAGCAACACGCAAGTAAAATCGACAGAAGCGAAGGACTATCTTTCGGCGCGGCCACAAGTGAGCTTTGTTCGGAAGAATATCGAAACGACTGCTCATAAAGTCCAAAATTCTAAAATGAGAAAAAAATTGTCTTCACTTTGGCGAAATTTTATCTAGTATTCAATTTTCTTCAGCCTAATGAAACATATTCAAGAGAGAAAACGAAAAATGTAGGCAACTCATGAATAATTTCTGACTTGACCTGTTTTAGTTAAATTCCCTCTTGAACAATCAATGTACATGCTGAATCGGGAGCAGAAATTCCTTTAACACAACAATAGATATTGAGGCAGTTCAACTATTTTGACTTCTTACCTTTAGGCCCGTCAAAGCCGTGCTTTCCATCTTCTCCATCTTTTTCGGTTTGCACTCGAGTTTTGTAAACCTGGTTCCAGTTTGGTGCAGAAACGTCAAGTTGACTTCCTGGAGCAGCAACGATTCTTCTGGCAAACAACTTTAAATTTGTGATTCCGTGTAGCTTGACTGATCCCTGGAGAGGTTTTAAAATAAGTATGTTAAAATTAGAACACCCTAGAATTAACCGCAGTCAAACTTACTGGAGCCATTGAAAATAAGGTACTGTCTCACACGAGGGTGGTTTTTAATTTTAGTGTTTTAGCTCCGTTGATAGTTTTAGAAGTAGCTGAGAGTATTAAAACAAGCAACGATGTTTGTTTAATAGGGTTCGTGAATTCGAACTTTAAACTAACGTCTTATATTTGAAATAAATGACGAAAGACAGAGGTGCTTCTCCAATTTTACGGAGATTCGCCCGGGATTAATTACAAAATTTAACAGATACTCAGTGTGGGAATAATAATACCTGAATATAAAGGGTGTCTGTGAGGATTTCCACTTGCGGTGCGTGGCGTACATTTTGCCGCGTTGCATCAAAGTTTAATCTCCTTTGAGTCCTTAATTGTTCTTTGATATAATTCATGTGAACAACTCGTCCAAGAACGCGATAGTGATCTGGAAAAAAAAATGTATTATGTAACTTTGTATATGTACATATTAACTATGATATGTAGTTCCTTCGGGGATACACGAGTCTCCCTTTAACAATTATTCCACGAGCGCGCGTTGGACCGAGTTGGCTGTAACCATCTCATATCCAACAAGCGCAAGTGGAATAATTTTTTTGTTACAAACGCCCCAAAACTGTAGAAAACTAGGCTACAATGAAAAAAAGCCCCGATAGTTACGTGTACGCTTTCCATATTTGTAGAGCTTGTTATAATTGCTCATATATGATGGCTAAGCCAATGAAATCGCACGATCTAATGACCCAGTTTTTAACAAATATTGATATACTGTTTCCAGAGAATTACTTAAGCTTGTAATAAAAACCAAAACAACAGAATTTCTCTTTGTCGTCCTCTAAATGCATTTTGGCATTCTAATAGAGCGTATGCACATGACCTCAGGGCAGCCGTAATGGTGTTCCAAAACAATAAAACGACCGCCACGTTGGTGTACCACGTTGGAGTTAACTCTTTCCCTATGCAAAAATTTTCTTCTGTTCCAATAAATTTACATGATTACTAATGAAAACGCCCTATAGTAGAAAATTGAAGCTGGCTTAAGTTTCCTAAATGAATCATTTTTGTCAAATAACTTAAACTTGCAAACATCTCCTCTGACCTTTCTTAAATTCGCAGATATAAGGTGTATTAATTCCACCACGTTGATCACTAAAGAGGCCTTGAGATCCAGGCGGGTAGTCCTTTGACATCACAGCATGGTTCCCGTCACCAGACGGTTCGTTATCTTGCCATTTGTCTGTAATGGTCAGCGGCTCTCCGCTTACCCACTCCCAGTTGTTTTCTCTTTTCCTTAATCCTATGTGCCAATCATTGGATCCTTGGAGGGTACGTTTTTGAATTTCTCTGTTGATAAACTGCCATTCTTCTTCCGTTTCCATGGAAACAAGGTCTCCTTTTTGGCGTCTGCAACTTTTTCGGTTTTTAGACCATGGTTTGCCTGATTCATAAAACATGTAGCAGGAACTGCCAAAACATATATTTGAAGTCGCTAGAAAGAAAAACAGAAACTGGTAATTATTAAGCTGCCTTTATATTAGCTTATATTAGAGACATAATTTGTCTTGCGCTAGTTTTTTGTGCTAGTAGTGTGTGTGTGCCTTAATTTTTGGTATTAGTGTTAGCAGTGTGCTGGTAAATTATGTTTTGGTTTGTGCTTTAAAAATGTGAAAAAGCTAAGCGTCGTAAGCTGTGTACTACTGAGTATTGCATTAGCATTAATTTTTGTAAGTAGGGTAAAGTGACAATATTGTAAGTAATGATCGAAATCAAATTGTTTGTAGTACTTTGTATTGTAATTAGTTTCAGCAGTGTTTTGTTGTGTTTCGTAAATAATTAAATTAACCAATAATAATAAAATTCGTCTCGAACAACTTGGAAAGGTGTCTGGTTATATGTGCCAATTTAAAGATAGCGACCAGGTGAATAATTTTTGAAGGCGAATCACTGAACCGCTTTGTCTATTTTGAAGGATAAATAAGTTAAGAACAGTGGCCTTGGTTACTATTTACTCTCCCATGTGTGACCTAGCCTTCTGCGCAGACGCAAGATGCACATAACCGCTAAAAAAAACGAGACCGCGAAACCCTTGAAATTCGTCGAAAATGTTGCGAGACCATTATGGTTTTTGAAGGTCCGTTCGCCGCACCTAATTTTGATTCCGACCAATAGCAAACCTCAACGTGCAAAACATCAGCAATGAGCGTGTAAAGAGGAGTATAAAATTGAGTATAGGCTGTTTTTACAAAGTACATGTATAAAGTATTTGGGGTTTTTTTTTCTTTCCTGTAAAACTTAGAATCCGTCTTTATTTCGGCACGCACCCAGAGGTTCGTAACTGTGGAATAGCAGCCTCTACTTCTCAATGCAAGCACTTCATAGCACACGTCTTGAACATGTATCTACTTAAGCTGAAGTACGCATAATCTTACTTGTTCCCATGTCGACGATAGAGGGAGTCTGGATCCAGCTCATGCTGGGAATTTCTAGATTTTCATTTTGGGATCGATCACCTAATGTGGTCTCTGCACATCCACCAGTGATCCTCACCTGATAGGAAGCTATGAAAAGTGAAACAAAAATGTATAAAAATGTTAAGCAACTTTTCCACTTTTTGAAATGTTCAGAAATAAACAGAACAATATGAACATATTGCTCGTTCGCTTTCATTTGAAAGGTCACACTCTAGGGTTTCATCCACAGACTTAAAAGTTAGAACCACCTTGTACAGCATAATAAACAGTACCACGTGAAAGTACTGCTAAATAGCTTATAATTGAATGGTCTACACTAGGGTTTCATCCGCAACACGGTCAAATAAAACATCAGAGTTCATTGTAACGGGAAGGATTGGAAAGGAAACGAAAGGACAGGACAGGTGAAGAAGAGAAAATAAAAGAAAGAGTACGAAGGGGAAGACAAATAAAGAAAGGAAAGGAAAAGAAAGCAAAGCAAAGGAAACGAAAACAAAAGGAAGGAAAGGAATAATTATAGGGAATAGAATATTGATTTCAAGAATAACTGGTCACTGCTATTGGGCCAACCAGCTGAAAAAATAATAAGACACCAGGCTAAGAGAAGAAAAACCTTTCATTGCTCAGCTCCCAGAGCAGGTTAAAGTGGCACCCCGCAGTG